GACGACGACGACGTTGTAGTCGTCGACATTGCCGAGGACAATAAAAGCGGCTTACATTCGCCATATATATATATATATATATATATATAAGCGAAAGAGTGCGAGAAAAAACCGGGAGCAGGGAAAAAAAAATTTTAAGAAGAAAAAAAGGAGGGATGAGAGAGGTTCCCAAACATGAAATTGGCATAAATGAGATTGATACGAATTTAAATTACTCACACGAGTAACCTCGAGGCGAGAATGATTTTTTGAGGAGAGAGTGTCAAAAAAGTAGTTTGTGACACACACTCGTCACGCCACTTTCTTTCTTAAATATATGTACATTGTATATACATGTATGTAGGTACTTGTATATATACTTGGCACAAGATCGTTTCGTCTGTCATCGTATGTGCAAAACAAGACCTTACATTTTGCTTGTCACCCTTTTTCTTTTTCCTGTTGCTTCGTGCAAATCAGCCCTTTCTTTACTTGATCAATGGAAGTGGATTATAATTGCATGCAAATCATCCACTGCATCACACTATTACGTGCACGTGCAGCCTTTTTATTCTCGAAATTGGATAACAAAAATCAAAATTCCTCTCTTATGTGTGTATTGTAATACTCTATATAACGGAATTTTATACTCTATTTAATGGAAGAAACGATTATTTTATTTTGTAAATAAAGACTAAAAGTTACTTTACGTAACTTTTAGTATTTATTTACAAAATAAAATGCTAAATTTGCTAAAATTTTTCGACATTTCTTTTAGTAATTTTTACTATTACCATTTTGGGAGTTACCTTTTCGAGGTTTTGAATTTTCGATGTTTTGAGCTCGAAAATTTAATTCCTCAAAAGTTAAACTCATCCCCGAATCTTCAAAACCTCGAAAATTCAAAACATCCAAAGTTCAATTTCCCGAAAGCTCAAAACCTCAAAAATTCAACTATCTCAATATGTTCAAAACCTTGAAAACTTAATTCCTCTAATGCTCAAAGCATCGAAAATTCAACTGCTCAAAAGTTTAACTCCCCGATGGTTCAAAACCTCGAAAATTTAACTCCTCGAAAGTTCAACTCCCCCAATGTTCAAAACATCGAAAGTTCAATTCCCCAAAAGCTTTAAAACCTCGAAAATTCAAAACATCGAAAGTTCAACTCCCCAAAAGCTAAAAACCTAGAAAGTTCAACTCCTCTAATGTTCAAAATCTCGAAAATTTAATTTCTCGAATGCTCAAAACCTCGAAAATTCAACTCCTCGATAATTCAAAACATCGAAAGTTGAATTCCTTGAAAGCACCCACTTCGAAAAATTCCATGGGACTTCTCCATGGAATTTCCATTGAGTTTCCATGGAAATTCTGCAAATTTTTTTATTTTTTAAATATTTCAACATTTTCAGTTTTAACATATAATAGGTCAGGAAAATCAGGGTATAGTCAGGGATTTTTATTAAAGTACTGGAAAAAATTAAATTTATACGAATAAGTTACAAATAATTGCAGAAATTCAATTATTTTCAAAAGTAATAAAATTCTTCGCAAAAATTCAATTATGTTCAAAAATTTTTTAAAATGCCACACATCAAAATTTCAATTATCTTTAAAAAAATAAAAATAATAAAATTCTTCTTCAAAGTTCAATTATTTTCAAAAATTTTAATATAAAATTCTTGACAAAATTTCAATTTTTTTCAAAAATTTTCCTCCATTCAATCATTTGCAATATCTACTATTTTATAATAAAAGTTTCCAAAAGATTTCAATTATTTATAAATAAAGTGTTGATAAAATTTAGAGCAAACATTACATTATTTTCAAATATAATAAAATTTTTTAGTGAGATTCAATTATTTTCATGAATAGTAAAACTCATCATAGAATTTCAATTATTTTTAATACAATATTTTAATCGAATTCCTTGAAAAATGTAATTATTCTTGAAGATTTCATTAAAATTCGTCGAAAAAATTAAATTATTTAAATATTTGTTGATAAAATTCTTTATGATAATTGAATTTTAAAAAACATTTAATTATTCAATAAATTATTTATTTTTGTCTTTAAATAATATTGAATTCTCGTAGCATTTTCTAATAAAAATTGATTTAAAAATGAATTTCAGTTAAAATTTTACATAATAATTGAATATTAAAAGCATTATAGCATGAATTTTCAAAAATAATTGAATTTTGAATATTTTTGAAAATAATTATACATTTTTCGAGGAATTTACTTAAAATTGTATTAAAAATAATTGAAATCCTGTGAAGAATTTTATTATTTAGAAAAATAATTGAATTCTTGTAAAGAATTTTTATTACATTTTTTTAAATAATTGAAGTCCTGTGTAGAATTTTATTATTTATGAAAATAGTTCAAATCTTGTAACGAATTTTTATTAATTTTTTTTTAAATAATTGAAATCCTGTAAAGAATTGTATTATTTATGAAAATAATTGAATTCTTGCAACGCTTTTTATTACATTTTTTTAAGTAATTGAATTCTTTTAAAAAATTTTATTAAAATAGTAGATTTTAAAAATATTCGAATTACAACGAAGAATTTCATTATTTGTGAAATATAATTGAATTCTTAGAAATAACTTTTGAAAATAATTAAATTTTTTGAGGAATTTATTTAAAATTCTATTAAAAATAATTGAAATCCTATGAAAAATTTTATTATTTATGAAAATAATTGAATTCATGTGAAAAATTTTATTACCGTTAAAAAGAATTGAATTCTTAGGAGGATTTTATTAAAATTTTTTTAAATAGTTTAATTTTTTTTTTGAAAAATTTTATGGAAATTTAAATTATTACAAAACATGAAGATATATCAATAACTCCGAGTCTTCGACTCGGACTGATCGATATCTTCATGTTTTATAATAATTATTCTTATAATTTGTTAAATTTCATAAAGGTTTAAATTTGAAATTTTTTGAAAATCTTAATTCCTATGGAATAATAATAATGATTAAATATTTATTAAAAAAATAATTTATTGGTGTTTTGGAATAATTTTACAATTAAAAAAATTCGTAATTAAATGCGCAATAGAACAGTTTTTTGAGAAACTAATCATTTTTAGAGTGAATCAGAATATTCTTTAGGGTCAGGGAAAAATTTAAAATTTTGGCCGGAAATCAGGGAAAAGTCAAGGAAATTCCAAATCTGGAAATTCGATTATAAAAGTGTAATATAAATTTAGTTAAACATTTAAAAAAACTTAGATAAGAATAATACAAAGTATCTAATAAAAATCTTTTTGATATATATATATTCACATAACCACAATTATGTATAATTATGGAACCTGCGGTTTTAGTACAATCGGCAGACTATATTAGACACCATTTAATTGTCCTCGTTAGTCTCGTTCTTTTAATTAGCGACACACACCGTCGATTTTGTATGACTTTTTTTTCACATCATCCCTTAGCGCCTTTCTTTCACAGACTTATCAACATAATTAGGACTAATGCAAGAAAGAATACCTCTACGTTTCTTTAATGCGAAAGGGGAAAAGATGATGGAAACATATTTCATATATATACACTCAGAAAAAAATTATCTTTGACTCCAATATTATATTTTTTTTTTGTATAAACTTTATTTTTAAATAAACCTTATTTTTCTTTAACAATTATAACAGTTGTTTAATTCAAATATAAATATTTATTTGATTTAAATCAACATTTGGTTTACTGCGAAATAAATTTTGCTTTCTAGGAAAGAATTTGGTCACTGGAAGCAAATTTTTGTATAGTTGAATCAAAGAAAATATTTCGTTCTCTCTGTATATCAATTTATTTGGTTAATTCGATCAAAATCTGTTGTTTCAAATAAATTTTGGTTGACTCCATTAGAATTTGGTTGTTTCCAATAAATTTTGGTTGACTCAACCGAAATTTGGTTGCTTTAAATAAATTTTGTTTTGACTTAACCAAAATTTGGTTGTTTCAAATAAATTTTGTTTGACTCAATCAATTTTTAATTGTTCCAAAAAAATTTTAATTGACTAACATAAAAATTTCGTTGTTTCAAATAAATTTTGGTTAACGCAACCAAAGCTGGTATTGTTCCATATATATGAATTTTGATTAACTCAACCGAAATTTGGTTGTTTCAAAAAATGCGTAGTTAACTCAACAAAAAAATTGTTCACAAAAAAAAAATTTTATTTGACTTCATCAAAATTTGATTCGGTTTCTAATAAATGTTTCTATGAGAAGAGAGATGACAGAAAAAAATGCAACAATAAAAAGCGAAACACCTTCTTACAATAATTTCAAGATTCGAAAAATAGATTTTGGATATGATATTTGAACGTTACAAAGGGAAAATTTTTATGGATTTTTTTTTATATTTGATACAAAGTGTCCCGTGAAAGATGATTCGGGACCTACAGGTAGGCGCTTATTTATTTCGCTTCTTGCTCTCTCTTTCTCTCTCGCTCTCGAAAATACCGGGAGCGCATCATGAAAGCGCTATGTAGAACAAGTAATAAAATAATTTTAACGACCTACTTGAATTATGTGCGGTACAAATAATATGTGCCTTGCACGCATCCCCGCAATAAATACCGAGAACCCTCTTGCGCTTATGTGAACTATACACACATGAAATCCCCTTCGTTTCTTTTCTGATTTTTCTCTCCGCGCGCGCGCGCACTCGCAACTTTTCTCCCTTTAATACGTGAGCGTTACACATTTATACCCCTCGTTGAAAAATAGGGCCCTCTTTATATCACGAGATTTGGAAACTTCAAAGTATTTACACATATGCACATGTGCACATATACACACGCACATGTGTAGATATATGGCACATAAACATTAATACATGTCCATATATGTACACATGTACACATATGCACATGTACACATAAGCACATATACACATGTACAAATATGCACATATACACTTAGACACAATTGCACATATACACATATGTGTATAAATCTATAAATAGTAAATACATATATGTGGAGTAAAAAGGGACTTACGCTTACCTGCGGGAGCTCGCTGCAAAAATGGGTCCCTCTCACGAACACACATATACAATAAATAGACAGTGGCTCTCAATCGTTTGGGGGAGATGAAAAAATCGCCCTTTGTTTGAATCATTGCATTCGTCTCGGATTTTTCACCTCACAGGAAGAATTCTCTGTAAAATAAATTGTTCTGGCATCAACAAGTGCTGATAAACATTAGGGGAATACATTTTTCGAGATTTGTTGGTTTTTGTATTCATTGCTTTTCGATTATGCCCATAACTATATATATTTATCGGAATTATTTTTCTATAGTGTCAAATTTTGACAATAAGAGCGATATATATTTCAATGGGAAGTCAATAACAGTTTTCTTATTTTTATATCGTTTTTGAAAATTTTCCTTTTGTTTACATTACCGCATTTTCTGTTATACAATGGGATATATGGAGTATAAAAGTATTTTTTTTTATCGGTAGTGGGAATGTCGAAATAGTTTTGGAATGATTTTAATATATAGGGATGAAGTAGACTACAGAGAGAAGAGTTCTGCAAACACTTGGGGTTTAAATTTTATTTTTATTCAATTTAACACATTTTTGGGGGTTTTAGAGCAGAGTTGAGGTATTACTTTTGGTTTAAAAATACAGTTTCCTGATTAGAAACTAAGGGGTAATATTTGGATTAATGGTAATTGATAGTAATTAATAGTAATTGATAGTAATGAATTAGTTCTGTACCAGTTCTGATAGCATTGGCCAAGTTTCGCACCAGTTCTGAAAACGATAAGTTCGTTTTGAACCAGTTCTGATAGTTATAAATTAGTTCTGTATCATATTTTACAGTAATAAATTAGTTCTGTACCAGTTCTAAATCCATTAAAGTAGATTTGATCGAAAATAACTAGCTTTGCACCAGTCCTGATAGGATCAGACAAGTTCTGAAACAGTTCGAAAAAGTTGAAGTAGTTTTGAATCAATTTTGATAATAATAAAATAGATCTGTACACGGAGAGAAAAATCAATCGTTTATAGCATGAATGCTTTGTATTTTAAAAGTATGAAATGTTAGTATACTATGACTGCAAGAAAGTATACTGCGATTGCAAGAATCCTATGCTTTTTCGGTATTAGACCCTTGCAACTGGCTATTAGGCCACGCCCAGAGCCTGGGCCGACCAATCACATTGCAGAAAACTTTTACCGAAATCGCATAGGTTTCTTGCAATCGTAGTATGAAGAACTTCATGCTAAAAAGCCCAGATATTTCTCTCCGTGTACTAGTTCTGATTCCAATAACCTAGTTTTGCACAAGTTCTAACTAAGAGTGTTGAGCTTTTCGTGCTGAAGTTCTGATAGAAATTAATACATCTACACCAGTTCTGATAGCACTGAACAAGTTCTGCACCAGTTCTAAAAACGTTGAATTAGTTCTGGGCCTATCCTTATAGTTAAAAATTAGTTCTGCACTGTTATCATAATGTTGAACTATAGTTCTGCGCAAGATCTAATAATGTTGAAATACCTTTGCACCAGTTCTGATAGCATTTTACCATATTTGCACCAGCCCTGAAATTTTTAAATTGCTTTTGAACCAGTTCTAATATTTTTGGACCTGTTCTTAAATCGTTGAACAAGTTTTGAAACAGTTCTGATGCCGATATAATAAGTCTGTTCAGTTATGATAGCGTTGAACTGAAACTGCGTTAGTTCTGATAGTGTTTCACTACTTGTGCACCAGTTCTAATAAAATTTAACAAGTTCTGCACCAGTTCTAGAAACGTTGAACTAGTTTTACACTAGTTCTGTACCAGTTCTAATAAATTAATAGTAGTTCTGTACCAGTTCTAATAAAATTATAGTAGTTATGTACCTGTTCTAATAAGATTAGAGTAGTTCTGTTCCAGTTCTAATAAAATTTGAGTACTTTTGTATACCAGTTCTAATAACTTTGAGTTCTTCTGTGCTAGTTCTAATAAAATTTAAATACTTCTGTACCAGTTCTAAAAAGATCAAAGGACTTGATATATTTCTGCATTTGTTCTAATAGCATTTTACTAGTTGTGTTCCAGTTCTGTTAACATTGAACTACTTTTGCTTCGGTTCCAATAGCAATTAATTAGTTCTGTATCAGTTTTGATAGCGATAAATAAATTCTATATCAGTTCTAATGGCAATGAATTAGTTTCGCGTCAGTTCTGATATCGTTGACTTGTTCCAGTTCTAATAAATCTGAATTACTTTTGCGTCAGTTCTGCTTGCATTGATCTACGTTTGCACCAGTTCTAAAAATACTAAATTAGCTCTGTACCAGTTCTGATTGCGTTAAAAAAATTCTTCATCATTTCTGATTGCACTGAACTAATTCTGCACCAGTTCTATAAACCTTAAATTCTGCTAAAGTTCTATTGAAACCAAGTTCCTTCTACTCTATATAGTAAAAATATAATAGAACTAGTTCTAAACTTCTCAAAATTCCAAACAGGTTCTACACATTTCCAAAAATATTTCGCAGGTGAAGGCAAACAAAAATAATTGAATGCAATATAGTTAAAATATTTTCAACATTCACACTAATCTATATAGAAGAATTAGAAAAAAAATACTTCTCAAACTCTGTGTGCTACTGTGCTGAAACTGTTTTATAACCCAATTAAATTTAATTCTACGCACAAGGATTTTACACCTTTACAGAAAATTCGTAAATTTTATTGGTCCCAAATAACCATAAAGGATTGAGGGATGAAGATCTAGTAAGCGAGTGAACGAGCAAGAGAGAAAGATATACTGAGTGGGCCATAAACTGTTTTTATATACAAATCTGAAAATTTTCAAACCTCCATATAGGCTGACCTTAAAAAACGTAACTATCACCATGGTAATAGCGTGCAATAAAAAAAGGTCTTTTTATTTACAAAAATTGAGATGTTGAACGTGGAGAAAAAAAATGGCTGACCTACCTGAAAAATTCTCGTTTGCCGCTATACATTTATTACGTAATATTTTCTGATTTTTGACCTTCACCTGTTTCACTATGTATATATACATATATATTTAGTGACCATGAAAAACGTGTTTGTATAAAATATCCCACTCACTGCGTGTGAAATTGTATAACAGAAATTTTCCTTTTCGAATAAATTTTTAACCGCTTCTTCTTTATTTCATGTTTCAGATATTTTGTTTACTCTTCTCATCGCAAATAAGTTCATCTTCAGAAGTTCTTATTACATAAGGTAAGAAATTCAAATCATTGCCTAAAATGTTGTCTATTATAAAAGTTTAGCCAGTGCAAGTTTTTGTTAACTAAATAAATATTAAGATGAATAATAAAATAAATTCTACCTCATGAGGAAGTAATAATAAAATAAATACACAGTTTTCCTGAGGATATCAAATTGAGACAAAAAACGTAGCAAAAATGTTGCGAAGCAACGTTTTGATACGTTTCTTGTCTCAATTTGATATCCTTAAGAAAACAGTGATATAATAAATTAAGTAAAAACATAAATAACAAATAAATAACAAAATAAGTAAAAGGAGTAAATAATTTAATGAGAAACAAAAAAGGCACAGGATTTGCATTTTCAGCTCCAACACCGAAATTTCTTATACTTCTAAAAAAATAATTTTTCAATATAATAGTCGTCAATTGTTTCAAATAGTGTGTTTAGATTCGAGAGAGAAATTAGTAATCGTATCATATGATTGTTGAGTATGACAGATTTTTTTTTATGGCGTGTAAAGTGCGTGTAACCGGATTACGTGGTATAAAGGTCGTAGAGTTCAATGCTCAATGCGTATTGTTGGCCAACAATAATGGCATTGTCCCGATAGTGAAACCTGTGGTCATGAGATCGCTTTTATACACATATATAATACCGAATATATAGTCTTTTTTAATAAAGAATAAGTGCGTAACAGGTGAATATTTCGAGGTATCCTTCATTTTCTGTTGACAAACATTAAAAAAAAAACATACCAAACACAATGTCTTACGCACACCCAATGGAATTTCATTCATTCGTATTCAATCTCATTCATATCGTTTCAATATCGCAGCCAAGCTCTTTTATAATGTGCAATTGCCTTATAATCAGATTGTATATACAATGTAAACTGTACATTTCAAGATAAACGTTTCAATTTTAGATTTATATTTTGTTGACATTGAACTTGAATTTCTTTTATGTTTACATTATGTTTATCTTATTCAATATACGTATGTACATCTTCATTTGTGTACCGCGCAATTTTCTTTCTTTAAATCGCGCGATGTATTTTGTTGAGTTTTTTTTCTCAATGGATTGGAGTTTACCTTTTGAATTAAGGCGCGAAAATGATAGTATCAATTTTAATTGACAGAAATGTTATTTTTCAGGAATCTTATAGAACATAAGTCTCGATTGACAGAAATGTTACAATTTATTTGCCAAAAATATTCGTCCACATAAATCTCAGTTAATGTTCTCTTTACTTGACATGAATATTATTTGGCTAAAATATTCGATATCGACATTAAAATCTCGCACATTTGGCATAAATCATATATTTGACAAAAATCTTAATAAATCTCAATTTTGAAATTATCTCAACAACTGTTGAATTTAAATCGTAACAGAAATCTCTTTCATCATAAGTCTTATAAACCTACTCAAAGTTCTGTTTACATAAATCACATTTGACATAAATCATACTAAACATAAATCACATTTGACCTGAATTGGACTTTTGGCACAAATTTTAATTCAAATAAATCTAAATTTATGTTAATCAAGAATTATAGGTCAAATCTTATTTTGCTGAAAACAAGTTTTATGCGCCGCAGGTGAAATTTATGTTGACATAAAATTTATGCTAGTCCAGAACCAAGTCAAATGAGATTGAGGGCAAAATAATAATTGTGTCAAATGAGATTTATGTTAAATGAACATTTATATCGAAATTTATGTGAGGTTTCTGCTAATTAAAAATGAGGTCAAATGAGATTAATGTCAAACAAGAATTATGACAACAATTATTATTAGCATAATTAATTAATTTATTTTTGTGCTTCACATTCACGATTAATCCCATTTCACCTAATTACTGACTGATAAAATTAATTCAATGACGAATGAGATTTATGTCAAAGTTTTTTTTACGTTAAATGTGATTTATATTAAGTATGATTT